GGGCCGCGGGCGCCGGGCCACCTCCGCCCCCTGTCCCCGGGCCCCGGCGGCGGCGCCGACACCCGGACTGGCGTCCCAGACTGAACTTCGGTGTTTTCACGAGACCTTTTGTACAGTATTTATCGTCCGCAGAGGAGGCGCGCGGTGTTTTCTCGGCTCGGGAGGACAAAAGACAAACAAACCCCAGCGAGGCGATGCCAACTTTTGTATGACTGCCGGCCCTGTAACTTTCCCTGGGCCCCACTTCCAGCCGGCCCTCCTGCCAGGGCCGAGCGACGGGCCTCGAGCTGTTCTCACTTGTTATAAATGTAGTAAGGCGGATCCAAACATTTCCAAGTTCTGTTTTGTTTTGTTTGGGTTTGTTTTTTTTTTTTTTTTAAGTTGTTGCCGCTCTTTTGGGTTGGTTGTTTAATTTATACCGCGGTCCCCTCTCAGACAGTGGAGTTATATTCTGGGTTTTGTAAAAGTCTGTATCCGAGCATTTCCATTTTTTTTTTGATTTTGTTTTGTATTATTTCTTGTAAATGCGTTGTGACATTTTTATTTTAGTTGTTGAGGTACGGGGGGGGGGGTGGGAAGAGGAGTCAGATTATGTACATAGCCTGCAAGTCTTTCATCTAAAAACGAAAAACAAAGAGAGATTCCCTCCCCCAGATGCATCAAAATTTGAATCAATACATTTAAGAGAGAAAAGCCCGTTTCCCTGTGAAATTGAAACGTGCTAATTTTATATGCATGTTTTATGAGTTCAAAATACGATTAGCAATCCGTTGGAGGAGAAATTATCAGCAGGGCCCAAGAGTAAGGGAGCCCAGCCACGCGGAGGGCAGCGTTTCAGTGGCTTTATTCAGTGGGGGGGAAGAAAGCTCAGCTCCATAGATTATTTTGTAGTGTTGAAGTTAGCACAGAGAGAAGTGATTACAAAACACTTCCCAACGGCTTAGCGTCTGGACTGCCGCGGCCCTGACATCTTTTTGCGTTTCTTTGCTGTGGCTCTGCCCTTCGCCTACTGTAGCAGTTTTGAGGCAGCTAGGTCCTGGTCCGAGGGAGAAAGGACAGTGCTCCATGGTGGGGCAAGGCCAAGGATAGGGGACAATGACCACCGCCGAGCATGGCGACAGCGAGCGTGCCTTTGATTTATCTGTAATTGGAATTGTAAGTGAAGCTATCTTCTGCGGTTCAGGGAAGCGATCCTGACCCAGAACGCACCATCACGGAGTCTCCCGCTCGGGTCCTACTCCAGCCCCTCCCCCTTCCTCTCTGGGAAAATCCAACCTAATTTTGCCGATTTTCTTCCCCACACCCAGAACCGACCGCCCCTCTCCTGTGAACCGGGATGCAGGTTGCAGGGAAAGTAAACACAAAACACCGTGTTTATTATTCCTGACCAGATCTTGAGGTTGTTTGATGCTTTAAATATTTTTAATTCTATTTTTTCTAGGTGTTTATTGGGACACTGCAGGGTTTTTTTTTTTTTTCCTGGAATTTAAGGTTTTCTGTAAAACTTTGTCTTCAAGTAACCTGACAGCATTAAATATTGCATTTAAAAGTTATACTGTAGCAAATATGTTTTAAAATTAATCATGGCATTAGAATGAAATTCTATTTTTGGAGGAAATTTTCTTTAAGTCCTGATGGTAAATAACACTGATTTCAGCACCCTTTCCCCTCATTTTTTTTTCTCATCTTTTTTTTTTTTTTTTTCTTGGAATGAGTATGGACTAGCCATTCAAAAGCGAACTTGCTCTATCAATTCAGTCAGACTTGAGCTCAGCCTACACTGGAGAATATCTTTCAGTATAAATGCTAATCTTGCAAGTGACACGAGTGATTTTTTTAAGTCATTTTGATGATTTTGCTCAAACCCCTCATTCCTTAGAGTGATTGCAAGAGATTCAAGAATGACGCCCACTGCTCTCTGACAGGGAATAAAAGGACACCCCACCTTTCCCCCCTTTATTTTTCTTTTTATGGGTTTGCTCTTGTTTCTGGAACTGCTTTGCTTGCTTAGGAGTCCGAGAGAGGGCGGCACCGGAAGAGCGGCCCCAGAAGCCTCCTCAGGGAAATTCCAGGGTCCAGCCCACCTCCCCCTCACCGACTGGTGGGAGTCCAGGCTGGCCACACTCACCTGACAGCCTGGGGTCCCCGAGTGCACCTTGGCTGTGAGCAACTAAACTTGGGCACTGTCAGAGCTCACACGGGCCAACTGGGAAAGTCATCTTTCAGGACCGGACAGCTCAGCCCCTCATTTCTGGCCGGAAGACTTAAGAGTTTTATGTTTCCTAGTCAGCGCCCCCCAGTGAGCAGGGATTCCTGTGCCAGGCCTCCAAGCCACCTTCCTTTGGATTCTCCTGATGTGAGAGACAAGGAGAAATTCTCTAATAATTTGAAAACAATGCGTGAGGATGGGGTGGAGGTGGGACCTTCTCTCGAGATCGAGGCCAGGGCCAGGCAGGCTCCCTCCGTTTTAGAAAAGTGGAAGAATTTCCTTCGAGGCCTTGCTTAGGGCCTAACTCAAGGGAAGGTAAGCCGTGACCAAGCCTCGCACATTTTCCTTCAAGTGGAATTCTTCAGGGTCTGGAGGAAGTGATGAGCACGGGCGGCGCTTCTTGCTATTAGTGCAATTCTGTTGAAAATTCGTGTGGACAATGGGACAGGATCTTTGCGAAGCGTGGGTAAAGTTTGCATAACTTCGTGTGGGGTGCCTGGGTGGCTTCTAAACTCGCCGGTAAACTAGGCAGGGCGGTTTGCCTGGCGGTCTCCAGCCCCCACCCCACCCCGCCCCTTCCCCCCATCCCCTTTCCTCTCCCTCCCTTCCCCACTCCTCTTCCCCTTTCTTCCTCGCTCACTTAAAAAAAAAGAAAGAAAGAAAGAAAGAAACTCGCTGGCCCCTTTTTATTGTTGCCACCGAGGCTTTGACACCCTCCCTCAAAACCACTAGTAGGCAGATGAAACGAATTATTATTATTTTTTTTTTGGAAGGAGTTGCGGGCGCAGCGCGTCTGACCTGCAGATGTGTCGGAATGTGACGGATGGGTCTATTGAAATCATGCGTGTGGGAGAAGGATAACACTCATATTCACGCATTTCATCCCCCCCCCCCCCCCCCGACAAAGGCTGGGCGCTGCGGAGCCCTGTCTCCGGAAAATTCCAGTCTGTTGGACAAGCCCTCCCCAGCGCTCGTGTCCTGGGGACGCAGGGGAGCGAGCGCTGTCCAGCCCGGGTCCACCGCTGGCTCGGGGGCCCCCCCGAGCTCTGGTGTCACGCCCTCTCTCCCCCGCCCAGCTTCCGCAGAGCGTGTCCAGGAGCCGGGCCGCGGAATCTAACCTTAGGTTAGGGCCCTGGGAAAGTTCAGGAGAAACGCGGAGTTGGCCCTGGTGCAGGGACCGAAAGGCCCGGGCGGATGGGAAGGAGGGATGCAGCGAGGCCCCCGGAGCGAGAATGCCAGAGCCCCTGTGCGCGGGGCGGCTGGCGGGGCCTGGCCCTCGCTTTAGGGTAGCTCGGGGCTGCCTTCCCCGCCAGAGGCCCCGGGAAGCCGCACCCCTCCTTCTCCCCGCAGCCCTTCTCCTCCCTCCTCTCCCCGCCCTCCCTCTCCAGCTGCCCCTGGCAGAACCCGACATCCCCCGCCCCAGAACCAGCCGGGCAGTCCGGATGCGGACAGTTGCCCTCGTCCCGCGTGCTGGCGTCAGGATCCCTCCGGGAGCGGCCGGCCTCCCGTGCGCTCCTGCCCGGACCTCTTCCCCGGCCTCCCGAATCCCAGGCCGCCCTGCTTCTGCGGCTGTGCTCTCCGCTGGCCGCACACCTGGCTCCCTCTCCCGTCCCGTCCACCACTACTGTCGCTCCCCGCCCTTTCCCTCGCCCTCCGCCTGCAGCCTCGGCTCCGGGTTGGCTTCCCTTCGGTGCGCTGCCAGGCCCTCCCTTTGTCTTGGTGCTCCGACCGCTTCCCGCCTCCGAGGTCCCCTCCTCTCCTCTCCTCTCCTCTTCTCTCCTCTCCGCTTTCCCGCCCAGCCGCCCCGTCGGAGGCACAGGTTCAGAGTGATCGGTACTTCCAGCTTGCGGATGGCGGGGGGTGAGGGGGAGAGTTCAAGTTAGGGCTTGGCGCCCACCTTGCTCATGTCCACGCTTGCCCGGAGGCCGTTGGGGAATTAAGAAACAAGCTGTTGTGTTCAAGACTGCTGGATCACTGCGGAGAAAGTGCTGACCTGGGGTCAGCCTCGAACCAAACCCTTTTACAATCAGTGGTGAACCAGGCAGGTCCCAGGCTGGACCGCAACAAGTGGGCGCAGAGAGGGGGAGGGGCGGCAGTGGCTCCGGGCAAGCGGAGACAAGGAAGAGACAGAGTGGCCCGCAGCTGCTGGCAGCACTAGGGCCTGGGCAGCAGCGGGCACAGCCAGGCTCTCTTGGGCCTGGATCTCGGCCTGGACAGTGCCTTCAGCGGTTTCCCAGGAAATGTCTGCGCTGACCCAGTCTGGGGACCCACCACCCTGGGATTCGAATCTAAGGAGAAAGCTTTATAGGCCTCTACCCAAGAGGTCCTGTTTTATAAATGCAACTGAACATACTTGAGCAGCGATAAATAAGTGAATAAAAAAGGGCAAGTCCTTGAAAGCTGGACTTAGCGCTCCTTGGGCAAACCCCTGCTTTGTTTTAGACGTTGTACAGCCCTGCGTGTCTTTGGGGGCTGTGGGTCAGGTGATATTGAAAGGAATGCATTATTAAGACAGGCTTGTCCCCAGACCTGGCGAGTGAAATACCAAAGGGCAAAATCCACCATTTGTTCAGACGGATGGAGACCTGGAAGGTGGGTGATGGGCTGCGGAAAAGCTGGAGGACAAGGAAGGAAATAGTTTTGTCTTCCTTAGAAGCCCCACTGGGGATTTGTACTGAGATGATAGCACTCACTGGTGATGTCTGACAAATGTGGAAAACACAGATGAGCCGAAGCAAGTAGTATACCCATAGACAAAGAGCATACCCTTGGGTGGTAAAAATAAAAAAAAAACACAAAATTGCCAAATCTTCTAAATTTTCACCTGCATTTAAGCAAACACCACAAGCAAGGAAAGGACAGAGGCAGTCTTAGGTGTTTCTTTGTTTTCTTTTAAATGATACAGCTCTCGGTGAACTCACACATCCTTGGGCCGTAGGCACCTTGGACCCTCACACACCGAGGTAGAAAGTAGGCTCTGAGTTCAAAGTTCAAGATGGAAGAGCAGAATGCTGCAGGACCAGCTGCTGAGTGACCTCCGGGGGGGGAATCTGTCTGTGGCAGAGATGTTGGCCGTCCAGCCCTCCTGAATGCCCTGCGGGCAGCTTGTGAGGATTTAATTGCCCTCAGCCACTTCAGAACAGCCTTGTGGGCACATTAAAGACGCTGTTTGTGGAGAACAGCAGGTCACCACACGCAAAGCCTCGGAATAGTCAGCCAGTCAAATCAGTGGAAAAAATCAGCTTTTGTTAGATTTTGCAGTTTCGGGAATTAGGCATTCACTGCAGAGCTGCAGTTGTGAGAAATTGCAATGTCAGGCGTGTTCCCAGTGGGGAAATATTGTGAGTGTGGAGGAACGTGAGATTGGGCCTGACAATGGGGAAACTGACAAGAGCCATCACCCAGACGCTGTTTTCTCTCCCAGCACCCCGGAAATGCTAACCACGGGTGCTGCTTGGCAGCAATGGTTCTCCGAGTCAGGTCTGTATGCCAAGTGGAAAGAGGCGTACACGGCGCAAGGTTTGACCCCAATTTCACATGAGTCAGAGAATCCACAGGCAAAACTTCCATATATATATATAATATATATATATTATATATATATATTATATATATGTATATAATTAAGGCCACATATACACCAGTTAGAAGCAGCATAAGGTCTTCTAGAAAAAAATTAAAGGGACCAGTGTCTTGCTTCTGCAGCAGAGACAAGGTCATCCAGGTGAGTGTGTTTAACCAGGGAGAGAACTGAGCTTTCAGAAGCAAAGCCCCATCCACATCCACTGAGGGGAAGTGCTTGGACCTCTCTGCTGGGTGGGGCAGCTGGGCTCAGGCCTTTGTTTCTACACTGAACTGAAGAAAGGAGATGGCCAAGGCACCTGCTGTCTGGACTTGAAGTTTTCTCAACCGTGGGTCTGTTCTCAGAGGTGAAACTCAAATTACCGAACACCTCAGGACATGCCCTTCAGAGCCCAGCAAACAGGAGGCCTCCACAAATAGCCAGGTAGTGTAGGAGCACGCCCCTAAAACCAAATCAGTTTGTGGAACTGGGACCTTACGAGGCAGGTGTGGTCGAGGTGGAATGGGATGGTCCACTCAGTGCACACTCAGGGCACAGGAATCCTCAGAGAGCTGTCACACTCCCCGTCTGTTCAGCAGATGTCGTGTCTGACCTGTTACCAGGTGCCCATGACTTTAAGATGGACTGGATAAGGCTTAGTGCCTCCTGGGTGAGGCACATGTCGCGCAGGAACACTGCTGTTGCAGTCCTTGAACAGAGGCACATGCCACATGCCTCTGGCCTGGCTTGAGGGAGTCGGGGGCACCCCTCCAGAGTGCACAAAGCCACGTGGGCCCTGTAACTGCTTCCGTGGTGGCTTGCACAGTGTTGGATTGTGATTGGCGGCAGTGGCAATGCGACCCTAAAGAGAGCTGCCTTTGTTATGGGAGCTTCGGACTGGGTTTGTGGTACCAGATGCAGACTTGGAGTTTTGCAAGGGTGGTGACCTCTCACCTCAGTGCTCTGACCAGGACCCAGAGAGGCTGACAGCAGGGGCCACAAGAATCTGCCCTGTCACAAGAATCTCCCTGCCACAGTCAGTGAGATGCTGGGTGAGGACCCTGGAGGACACTGGGAAAGCCTGTTTCAGATGACAGTGTGTGTGTGTGTGTGTGTGTGTGTGTGTGTGTGTGTGTGTGCGCGCGCACGCGTGTGCGTGCAGTGGGCAACTACTAGGGCTATGTCAAGATCATAAAGATCAGAGCAGCAATTTGTTATTTGTAAAGGGCTCATCTAGCTCTTCAAATGGTGATTTTTGAAAAAAAAAAAATAGCGGGAGAAGAGAGCGTTCTGAGTTGTGCCTGGAAGGCAGGAAAGGGGCCTCGTGTTGTTTCCTGCTCCCTGTCTCGGCCCTTCCCACCGCAGACACATCTGAGATCTCCTGAAGGGCAGCCTCTGCAGATCAGAGGACGGAGGCCCCGCACATGCACCTGTTTTCAGGATCGGGTGAGTGAGGTGCCTGCCGGGGCCGGAAGCCTTCTCAACGCCTTGTTTTTACCAAGTGGGTTTGCAAGTGCACAAACGGGACCTGGTGAGAACCAAAACGTTCCTGCTGGACAGAGGCACCCTACAAAACAGCCACATCACCCTCCTCAAATATGTCATCACCACATCTGTGAAATGGGCACGCCCTGTTAGAGCGCCTCACAGGAAGGGCTGTGGACAGGAAAGTATGTGCGCATAACTGGCCTGTCTCAGCAGGGCTCAGTGCGGTCACTGTAGCTCAGTACAGCCGCTGACCACCATGAGGCTGTGAGAGAACTCAGCATCTGCTCAGCAGGTAGAGAGATTTGAAACCAGGAAGAACGGGAAGGCTTTTTCATCTTAAAATTTAAAATACTCAATTAAAACAGTAAATCGCTTTCTTCAGCGTTCTAGGCTGGGGCGGGGAGAGGAACGCAAATGGAGTGTTGGTTTTAAAATGCTAATTAGATAAATGACATGATCTACTTGCTAAGGAAAATTATATGTAGCATAAAAAATGAGATGACACATTATTACTCTAATGTAAATAGATCACATGCAGTCACTACCTTAAACAATGAAATGCCATCTAAAGTCACAGTTCAAATTAGATCATTCAGTTGCATCAAGACATAAATAAAAAAAAAAAAATGGGTAAACTTAAAACCAGTCTGCAGGCTACAAGTCTGCTATCAATGTCGATAACATAACATTTTAAAGTGAAACTGTCCTGAGGATCTTCGAATAGATTGGAGGAGAACATTTTTACGTGGCTTATTTAAGATTTGCTGTAATTGGCCCCAAAGGGTCAACTTCCCACACTTGCTCTGCAGCTCGCACCGTGTCAGTGAAGCTCAGAGATCGCAGGGGGACAGACACCCCACCATCACCGATCGCCTGTCACCAAACCTCATGCTGTGAGCACGGCAGCTACGTCTGATTTGGGATCTTAGGGAGCTGTAATTTCCAGCACAGCCAGGCTCTGTGCGTGTTGCAGAGACAGAGGTGTGGACCACAGGACCGGGGGCAGGCAAGGCTGCCTTCCAGGAAGCGCTTTGGCCTTCTGAGTGCAGGCCGACCTGCAATCCAGGGGTGGGAACACATCTGCTGTGTTCCAGAGGAGTGTGTCCTGGCTGTGGCTCCGGCCCTGTGGCTATGGCAGGAAGCAGTTGGTTGCAGGAACTTCAGGAGTAGACATGGGAGCTGTGAGTGTGGCTTCACCCCTGGGCAGGGTGAACCTCCTTCCTCAGATGGAACCAGAAACCAGGCTCAGAGCGTTCACTGTGGTCTCAATCCTAGCTGAGCCATGGGGAGATTGCTCTCTGCCTCAGAAGCCGCTGGAGGCCTGCTCCATCCCTGGACACCCAGTGAGTTCAGGGTGCTCTGTAGCGGCACGGTGTGTTTAGATGGGCTTTTCCTTAGGGGATGTGGCGGAGCCCCTCTGTGTGTTAGCATAACGTAGGGTACCTAGAAAGGAGGCAAAAAGCTGCCATGCCCGTATTGAAACAGACCCCTGAGCTGCTCTTCCACCCAGCACCTCAGGGAGCCTGCGGGCCTCCTGGCACGGAGGCCTCTAGGTGCTGTGAGCTCCACATGGACCTGAGTTGTCAGCTGGTCCCAGCAGACTTGCCTCTAGGTATCTAGCCTATTAGCCCTTATTGTGTAGGCTTGAATATGTGGCCTGTGGATCTGAAATCCCTAAACACAAAACTGGTAGTGGCTGTGAAGGTGTGTGTATGGGCAAGGGAAGGGAGCTACTGCTGAGTTCATCCCTCGGGACTGAGGTGTGCACATGGCCTGTTCCCACTTGGTACTCCACGCCTAGGGTCCCCAAGCTC